AAATTTATCTGAAACACTGGATTTCCTGCTGGTGTTAACATGCAATAATGAAACTTCAAGAAAAGGAACTATGAAAAATATTATCCACACACACTTTCTTTAGTAATTGGGTAGCTTGTTTTTCAGTCACAACATCCACACCATAATATGGCAGCTATTTGAAACAGTTACCTTTCCTATTTCTTTTCTTTCTTTTTTTTTTTAAGGCAAAACTCCATTTTTCATTGATAGTTTTAATCTTAATAAATCTTAAGCATTTATTTATTTATCAAATTTACATAGCTGCCCATCTCAAAAATGTGACGCTGGACGGTGTACAATAAAACAAACAATTAAACACAAATCTAAAATAACCTTAAAAATAATTCAACATATAAATAAGACTGTGGAAAAATGGACCAACATCCTACACATAATACAACCACCTCATGGGCTCCCTATTTCCATGGGATCCCCAATCCTGCTGGAAGAAAACAGGTTTGGAAAGATTTCTAGAAACCCAATAGGGCCGGGGCTAATCTCACTTTGGGGGGAGTGATGCTCCAGAAGGCGGATGCCAAGGCAGAAAAGGCCCACCTCCTGGGTTCTGTCAGACAAAACTCTGTAGCAGACGGGACCCATAACATGCCCCTCCTGCTGGACCTGACGGTATAGTTTTTAACGGCATAGTTTGTAACAGATCATAATTTATGACATTTATTTCAAAGCATTCAGATTTTTAAATTAATGATTGCATATCATTTTCAAACTATTAACAGGAAACACATACAATTTTATGTATTTGAAAGCTGCTAGCAAAAAGTGACTAGCTGTAAATTCTAGCAGCTGAAACTTTTTGGTTATTTGGGTGCATCTGAAATTTTGAGAGACCATCATAAGCATTTTCACAAAATGTCTATCAAAAAGTTGACAGTGTCAGGAGAATTACAAACTTGGAGATGTTTCATGTAATAGATTTATTAATTAACCATGTAACCGCATTCTCCAAAGCAGACTATGAATAATAGGTGGTCTGGCAAGTGACAGACAACTGAATAGTGACAGATGCCTGAGCATTTTTACTGATGAAATAACATCCATGTTTCCATAACAAACACTGCTTGGTTTTCTCTTTAATAGAATATATCTTGCTGAAAGTTAAGAAATTCTCAGATCTTTCATATCATGTGTGCATATGCTTTAACTATCTAATAAGACAAACTACATTAATATAATTAATGTAAGTTTGTCTTATTATCATTTTCCATCTACAATGAGATCTCCTTGCTTATGATGTACATCTGCACAGAAGCTTCATAACTGTTAGTCCTTGGAACTTTGGAAAAAATATTAATGTTAGAATAAGTTAATGAAAATATAATTGGAATATAGCTGAATAATTATTCTGATTCAAATGTTAGAATGTCTCTTCATTTTAAAAAAATATCCACCTGTAGAAATCATTGATGACTTATATAACTTCCTAATTATATTACATGCTGTTCGGTTGTTGTTTTTTTGTGCTTCTCTTAACATTAAAATTAAAATTTAATTCAGAAGAAGCATTCTCATTTTACAGTTATAGTTTAATATTCTTATCTTAACTGTTTGCTCACAGAAGAAGAAATTTCTGGTTTGTTAAATTATGACCATTATTTATTTCACAAAGAGTGCCCCAGTAAAATAATTCTGTTTATATTTTCCTATGGTTTTATTATGCCCACTTGGTAGAACATATCTGCATATGTTAATCATGTGGATTTTTTCTCTTTTTGACATAGAAAATCTGTGACACTTTTAAAAAGAGCATTGTCATTTCCAATTATTGCTCTATCAAAACAAACAAAACACTATATTCCAACATACATTCAGAATAATCAACACAGTAGCAATTATCTACGCATCTTTAAACTTAAATCTGCATGTATCAGATGAAGGTGGGGATGAAATTTTACAGTCAATGTTTGGCAGGAACATATGCCAGCCACTGAACAAGATGCAGTTGCTTCCATTTTATCATCCTGCCTTCTCTATATGTTCATGTGCACCTGTATACACATGTGCAAAGATACTCCAAATTGCCGTTTTACCATGTATCTTTTCTAATTTCTTCTTAAAACTGGAAGACATTTTACTGCATTCTGTATAAACTTATACTTATTAATGTGACTTTTGAAATTGCAATAGTAGTTCACTGACTTATCTAAGGAGTAAACTAACAGTCAGAGAGTGGTCTGGAATCATGATTGATTAAATGATTTGTGATCAAACACTATTTGTCCTAAAGACTACTACTGTCTCCCTTCTAAAGAATACAAGTGTATTGTAACTACACAAAATAAACACTTTACTGCCTTTGTTCATTGAGGAGGCATCATAAGTTTCAAACACATGCCCACAAGAACCCTATTCCAAATTTGACTGGTTTTCATTTAATGATTTAAAAGACAGGAAGTAATTTTTCCCTGTGTTCAAGTTACAAGGAAAATCCATTTAAGAATAACATCAATTAAAAGTTTATTTATCCAGCATTATACTATACAGTAATTTATTTTAACATTCCATTTTGAGTAATCATTAACTTTGCTTTACTCAAAAAACTACAAAAACAATGGATGAGAATGTTAAACAGTAAGACAATTACTTCTCAGATAGCAAGATCAGGATTGTGAAATGAGAGAAAATCAATGAGGAACAAAACAGAACTATACTGTTAAGATTTATACCCCACCCGCCAAGATTAAGACTGTCTTCCTAGTAAATCTTTAATTATCCAGAACTTCCTAATAGGTAAATAAGGATAGGATTGTGGCCTTAAAGACAGTTAACTTCAAATACTCTCCTAGATTTTTAAAAAATTTACTATAATTAATTAGTAATGTTAATAACAAAAAGGAACATAAAATCATCATCTTGTAGTAATGATTTAGTTAAAATATTAGTAACATCTAAGAGCAGTTCTATTATTATTGAACTGCATAAGAGACAGTAATAAAAGTTACTGTCAAAAGCTGAGTGTTCACATGTATTATCTGGTTGATCTGGAGGAAAATAGATAACAGTATCTATATCTGGTATGATTTATATTGTTAAAAATAAGGAAATGTCCATGTCATAAAACAGCCTTCTCTTCATAAGAATGAAAATATGAGTGACACCTGCAAAACATTCCAAACAAGAGGGAGAATGCCCCTAAAAATGAATCAACTGAACTGTATAAATTTGCTTCCCCATAAACTGATAAGAGAGAGGAGCCATTGTAATAACAACACTAACTTCCTTTCAGCTAATGCAACTGTAACATAGCTGGTGTACAGATAAAACTTCCTCTAAGGGTCAGCTGTACAAACTGCCCATTTAGTATCACACTTCCTCTTTTTTAAAGAAAAGTGTTTAGTATAAAGTTCAAATTGCAGAGCATTAAATAATGTAATTAACAAAGCAGGAAATGGCACTATTTTGTAAATGGTTTCACGGCTTGATAAAAAAAAAGTCAATGTTTCTTAATATATCTATAACTCTTTGCTAATATTTTTATTATTCAGTTCTATAGGCAATTACTGTAACAAGTTGTTTATCTTATCCATGCAAAGTCCTTATGAGAGTGGATCCAAAGTCTCCTTAAGGAATAATATTGTATAAAATAATGTGTAGACTGCTGGACCCAGATTCAAATCCTCATTTTGCCCTGAAGCACAGTTCAGAGACTTATGACCCAGTCACCTCCTCCCTATGAGTCTTGTGGGATTTTTGCAATGATCAAATTGGAGAACAGCAAACTAGGCATCTGGTCTTGAACCTTCTGGATATAAATTTATTATATCTTTGTTATAAAGATACAAATTTAGTTAAGGAAGACTTACAAACTGAATCTGTGCTCACATGACATGCTTGTCCCTGGTTTTCTGAATTAACCCAATATGTTAGGTTTACAGGCTGCACTGAACCATACGTTATCGTTATCGTGGCTGGTCTGAGGTTCAGTCAGTGTTAATACAATGCTCTATCCCAACTACTACCTAATATTCTGGAGAAAATTGGCTTGAGAAAGACTGATCTCCCCACTGTAACCCACTATACCTAATTTCACAATATATAAATACTATTATATTATGTCAATAAAATAACTGTAGGCCAGTTCCTCTGCCTAATTTGGGATAAATTTCAAGAGTCTTCACTATCTAGTAAAAATACGGACAAAGATTCTTGAATAAAAGGAAAAGATGGAGAGATGATGCATGCACGAGTATACAATACCGAGACTGAAGCACTGCCTGAATTCACAATATAATTGTTGAAAACCAATGGCCAAGTACCCCTTCGATTGTCAACATCGGAGGTCAAAAGCTCCCTTTTAACTACCCCAAGCGCCTCACATCCGTCAGGAGAAGGAAATTAGAAGCAACATGCTGCTAAGATTTAGCTCTCCCCAGAGCAGAGAATTTGCCACCGAACAAAGCAACAGCCAACTAACCCAAGCAGCTCCAAGTCGAACCGGTCGTGGTCGGATCAAAGAAAGTCCCGCAGACTCCAGCAAAGCCAAGCTATTCCCAGGACAGGACTCAAAACGGAGAAAGTGGCCGCCAAAAGCCCCTTAGAGTTGTCCGAAAAGAAGAGCGACTTACTTTCCTGAGCGTGGAGAGTTGGACTTCACCAATTAAGTCCACTGTTTGTTCAGCCCAGAGGCTGGAGAGAAGGAGAGCGAGCCCACAGCCCAGCAGGAGCCTCTCTGAAAATGAAGTCGCCCGGTTTTCGGAACTTAAAAACAGGGGAAGTGAAAACCTAACCAAGAAGAACCGGCGAGGCTCATTCTCGCCTCAGCCAGTCCTGCTCCGCTGCAGAGAGGAACCTCGGGCGCCTTGCAGAGGCTACTGGGCGCTCCGACGTTACGGCTTTACTTCCTGGTCGTGGGCAATTTGCATAGTTCTTCTGGAAAGGGCGCGCGGGAGGCGTGGGGGCTGCTGTGGGTAAAAAGAGAAGTAAAGAAAATGTGGGCATTTTCCAAAAAGGGCGGGACCGACCTTGCAAGAAAGTTCTCTCTAGAGGCAGCCGAAGACTGTCCTCGCAAATGGACGCAAGCCACCGGCTGCGGGGGGAGGGGGCTGCGGGAGAGAGGATCGACTTTTGTGCTCAGGTAACGCCAATGGACAGAAGGACCTTCCTCGCTCCGTAGGAGAGGGGCGGATTGTGCAGGAACTGCAGGTGAGCTCATAGTGAGTCAAACCCATGTGGATTGCACTTCGGCTTTCCTCGCTGCTTTTCTTCAGCTTTTCCTCCTGAATCCGCCGCAAAGTGGGTTCCTCTCGACGCGTTCGGACTACAGTTCCTAGAATTCCCAGCCAATGTGTGCAAGACTACGTAAGACAGGAATTGGAGAGTCCGGACATATCCGGAGGGGAAAGTTCTGTTGAGGTCAGTGAGGCTCATTCTCAGAGAAAAAGTACAAGAACTCACAGCCGCAGGTATTTCAGTGAGCTTAAAAGTACATCTCGGTTCAGCTGTGAACATACTACCGTATGCTCTAAACTACGTCCTGGCCTATCAGTGTCTCGTCATGGGTTTGTTTCTGTTTTCAAATAGTGTGAAGGAAACTGAACCATGTTTGTAATTAAGTCATAAATGCACCTTGGTTACAACGTGTCTGTGCTTATTTTGTACACACCTGACTGTATGCTTCCTTAATCAGCGGTGCTGGCAGGGGAACATGGGAGTTGGTCAACCAAGTCTGGAGAGGCTGTTTTGTTCTTTATGTACTCTTGCCTCTTCTTGCCAGTTATCTCTTAAATGGGAAAAAACTGAAATTTGTCTTACAAGGAAGACAAATGCAGTTAGGATTCTGTAATATAGGGAGCAAAAAAGTACAGTATTCAGTCTGAGAATGAATCAAGACAACTTGTGTTAATGGACCTCTTGCCGATCTTATTTGATGGTATTAAATTTTGCAGATGAGGTTGTATGGTCATCATTTCAGGACAAAAACAAACAAACCAGACATTGCTATGAAAGGCCATGATTGGTGGTGGTTAACATGGGTTAGAGAGCTTTGTAGTATTTCTGTTGTTCCAGGAACTCTGGGGGGTTCTAGCCTGGCATGCAATTTTGCCCAATAAACACACCAGGGTGGAGATAATAAAGTATTCTGTGCAGAGTAGGGTGCCTGGGAATAATTTCCAGAGCAGGCACAAAAGCTCTCAAGTCAAGATTTTTATACACTGTTTTTCACTTCTTGCAACAAGTGAAAAACAAAGTCTTAATTTGTAATCCTTCAGCCACAAAGCGATAAGATACGCAGAGTGTGGAATTCTCAGTCCACCGGTACGCTTGTGTGCCCTCTACTCTATACCTATGCTTTGTACGGATACTAAAGAGATACTTGCACGTGCCATCCTTATCACTTTCAGTTGCCTTACATTTACTCCCTGATCCTTGCTCATGTGCATTGTTAATTCTTCTGCACACTGCCCTACTATGCACTTGTTACCTAAGCTAAAAATACAAGCTACATCCACATACTTTTCTTGTATACTGGTACCTAAAGCTGGTGTTTTTTCTTTACTGCGCATCTGCCAGAAACTTTTTTTTCCTGCTTACTGTGCAGCAGCAGCAGCAACTGCTAGCTGCCTTACTGCCCTATCATTTGGGGCTATAATTACTTATTAACCATGATAATTAATTTGTGTATGTATATTTTCAGAGACAGGATATTAAGAGAATAGCTCTCAGTTATGCACTGCTTGGAAGCATCTCAAGGACACTGCTCTCAAAGCCATAATATGGTTTGTTTACATCATTACGTCTTGTGTGAATCTAACTCTGGTTTGTAAGTTCTTCTTTGTAGCTTAATACAGTGTTTGATCCCCAACAGGTGTAGCTTATTGAGCCAACTAGAGGTTAGCAAAATGTGTGAATACAATCTGCATGAATTGGAACTTTTATCTGATCCAACTTGACAATTTTAATTGTTTTCTTCACTTTGCTTATTAAGTAATACTGAATCAGCTTTCTTAAACTTGGTTTCCTCCAATTATTTTGAGATTCTAACACCCAGAATTCCCAGTTGGGTTTAGATCTTAAACCCAATAAACTGTCAAACTGCTATGTTGTCTAACTTTGGAAGCTCTGAAGCTGAATCTTGGCATAATGGTTATTATATATACTACTTTAGATCAAAGTTGGTTGCTCCATTCCCCACTACCGAGGGTAGAAATGTACCTAACCTTGTTTTTTTTTTTTTAATCTGTTCATTCGTGTCTGATTCTCAGAGACTGCCTGGACAATCCTTGCAGTTTTCTTGGCAAGATTTTTAAAAGTGGTTTGCCATTGCTAAGGGCTAGGAGAAAGTGACTGGCCCAACCCAGACTTTGTGCCTAGCCAGGACTAGAACTCCCCGTCTCCTGGTTTCTAGCCTGATGCCTTAACCACTACACCAAATGGGCTCTCAACCTTGGCATAAACTATCTCAAAAATGGAGCAATAAACTTTTGAATAGAACGGCTGTTTTCAGTATCACTGAGACAAGGTATTCCAAATGAAATGTGTCATATAGATGCAAAATGTAATTTTCAATCTACTTTAGGCGCCTATATCAAATTGATTACATGTATATACATTTTATATAATGCAGAACATTATTCCATGTAATATATTAAGTCTGACTTTTGTTTTTAGTGCACATTGCTTATATACTATCTACATGATTGGAGATAATTTTAAAACAAAACAGAAAATGAACTACTTGAAGTTCCATATCTGAGATTGTTCTTAATTGTGTGTGTATAATATAATATAATATAATA